TTTTGTTGCTGTTTTCGTTTCTTCAGAATAACCTAGTTGGATGTGAGTAGACGTATTGTGCACCAAATGCGCTCTGACTCAGTTTAAATCTTGTTGAACAATTAATTTAAATACACCCCTCAAACTATAAATGTCTTTTGTTCTTACTACCAATGTACAGTTTCACTGGTGAAAACAGGCAGCCTTGATCCACGATTGAAGTTCATATGGAGGAAAACAAATAGATGAAGGTGAGGGATGTGGGACTGCAGGCTGTAGCCAGAGTGTTAATACATGAAATGAGCTTGACCTCTAAGCTTGATATTTAAGATTTCTTTTACTTGGGGGGGGGTGGGGGGGAAGTCCAAAATGTCCTTTGGCAACAGAAGACTTCTAACAGACAAGTTTGCCTCACTGCAGTGCAACTTTGGTTTTGAATACAGGCATCTTGGCAGTAACATTCAGGTGACATGTAGTAGCAAGCACTAGTAAGTAAGTAGCAAGTATACTTATTCTTAAGTCTACTTATAAAGCCACTGAAAAATCCAAGTAATGTAAATTACGTTTTTTTTAGTGGATCAATAATCTAAATATTGAACAGTTGAGAAATAGATATTTCTAAGTGATTGAAATAAGAGAAATGGTCATTGATTGTCCAGAAAGTCAGTTTCCAGAGGAGAGCCACGTAACCTTTGTATGCAGCTCTTGGGGCTTTCTAGTAGTTACATTCATTGAACATAAAACTGTTGCATTGCAGGTAAATTTTTGTTTTGCTGTCCTTGGCTTGATATCCCTTCAAGTAAGAGGTTATTTGTTGAAGAAAGCCTGGGGGGTTCTTTTGAGTTAGCTCATGCTGGTTAATGTTCATGGTGAAGGTGGGTGAAGCACAAGACCTAGAAGATGAATGTTACTTAGAATGGCTGGGTACCTGGAGAGCTGGATTGCTTTGCTTCCCGGTTTCTGTGTGCTGCTACCCTGCATGTACCAGTACTCAGTGAAAGATAAACTGCTGCTGTGATGCTCTTTCCTAACTACTTGCATACTCTTTCCGGAGCTGCTACTTGTCACTACATATTAAAAGCTTTGCAATAGGTGATGTTGAACCTAAGAATTTTATTAACATATCAAAGTATAAGGAAAATCACTTTTGTCAGAAAAGGACTTTGTTCTTCTTTTGTTGTTGTTTAAACAACCAAAAATCCAAGAGCAATTCAGTCTTTCTGAACAATTCTGAAATTACTTAAGATGCTTCTGGCTCCATTTGCATTGGCAATTCCCAGCTCTCCGTTTTTTTTTTTTTTTTTTTGGTTGGTTTTGCTTTGTTTTGTTTTGTTTTTGAGGGTAGAGTAGTGGGGAAGTTTTTAGCCTGACTTTCTAAGATCATGTAACCACATCATTAGTTCATTTGCTGCATCCTTATCTCTAAATCAAGCTGAGTCTGAGGACCAAGATTGAGAAGGTGCTGATAGCTTCACCTTTTGTATAACAAAAACATCCTTCCCTTTTGCCCTGCTCCTGCCAGCTAGAGTCTTGTGAATTTATGAGCTACCAAGCAATGAGGGACATCATCCTTTGCTAATGCAGGTTATATTTACTGAAGAGGTGGTGAGATCTTTCAGAAGTTTGGAAAAGTCTGAATTCATGATAAGCTGTCACTAGACAGCTCAAAGGTGAAAGCAGCAGCATCTTAAAGGAAGTAAGCAGTTCTTGAGCAATCTGGAAAAGTGCTGTTTAAAACTCAGTCTTGTGGTCAGAGACATCTCAGCAGCAGTGGCAGAGCTTAGTTGCCCTTTTCACCTTCTGAGATATCTTTAAAAAAATGTATTTATAATAAAATACAGCCTGCCAGCTAACATTTGAATTCAGAAGGCACAGCAGCAGAGTTCTGTCATGCTCAACTTCTGCAATGACATTGAACTAGATGAGAATTGCTTCAGAGTGTTTAATTTGTTAAGGTATATATACATGTTCTTTCCCATTATCTCATATATATTTCAGTTAAGCTGAACACAAAAGAAAAAGTAAAGCAGCAAGATGCTGCTACCCAAGGGTTAGGTAGGCATGAGACTTTTAACTGTGGAAATATCATTTCCAAGTTGAAATTGTTCTAACTGAGGTTCGTGGTTAGCGTGGAAACTGTAGAACTGTAAAAAAAAAAAAAAAAAAAAAATTGCTGAATGATGATTTTAATGCTCATGTTTGAGGAGCAAAACAAGAAGGAAATACCCCTGTGCATCAGCGGTTAGTGGTGGCATATGCTCCATGGTATCCCCAGGATGCCAAGGGCAGGAGCCGTTGGTGGGATACTGGATGAGCTTACAGGGTTTTGAAGTGTTTGATTCCCCCCAGTGCCCACTCTTTTCCTTACCTTCAGCTGCCTCTTAGGACCAATTTATTTTCTGAGCTTTCCAGAGCACACTGCCACCTTGCCTTGGACTTGCTGGCGTGCATCAAACTTCACCAGGCAAGGTTGCTGCCTGGGTACCTGGGAGTTGTATTTTTCTCACTTAGCTTAATTTTTGGGCTCTTGGCTTCCTCAGCAGATGGCATTTTTATCATGTTTTTGGAAAGTCCATATGGCCTACAAGAGACAGTATCTCTTTAATTGTAAAACACAACCACCTGTTCTGATTTTAATGAATGCAGTGAGTGCTCGTCTCCATGTATCTACTTAAATAGCTGCTTCAATTGAATTTAAAAAAAAAAAAACAAACCACACACAACTCAGTCGGGCATCAACAGTTCGGCTGCTAAAATAATCAATTAATAATTAAGTGGCTAATTTTAGAACCCACTGGCCTTGCCCATTCCCTTGGACGCTGTGATCAGAGCAGACAGTGATTGATTGCCCTGCCAATGCTGAGAGGCACATGCAATGCTGGGGCCAGATGCCGGCAGGCTTTGAGCTGTTTATATGTGATATTTAGAAGGTGAGTGCAACTTCATGTGTCTGTTCTGCAAATGGACTTGTCTTTCCTGCTATCGCTTTTTCCTCTCTGCATTGCTCCAGTTGCTCACATGCAGCCATCTGCAGGTACCCCTCTCAGTGCCACCCTCTGAAAGATAAAATCTGCTGCTCAAAAGGTATCCTAGTGACTGGCCAGCTGGAAAGGAGTTTGAAACTGTAAGCAAAAATAGACTTGAAAGCCTTATCCACTAACTGGCTCCTAATAGAAAGCCCTGCTAGAATCATTCTGCTCACTAAAATCGCAACAGCCAGTTAACTGTTTTGGAGCTGTGCAGCAGGTCTGCTGGCCAGATGAGAAAATGTGGAGTTTTTTGGCTTAAGTTTTTCAGAGATTAAAATTTTGGGACCAGGATGCCCAAATCTTAAGTATGTTAATGTTTAATTCAAAGTCCCATTGAAATTTTACACTTGTATGGAATAAGCCTGTTGCAACATCATCTTGTTCTACAGCTAATTAAAATATCCAAATGGTAGGAATGCACTGGGATTTGGGTTTATAACTGTTGGGTTTCTGGAGGGTTAATATCTTGGAGGTGGAAGAAACAGGATGTTTGAAAGAGTGCTTGTGGGGTACAGCACTTCCCAGCTTCAATGTTAGCAGTAATGGGTGCAGTAGCTGCTGGGTTTCAACACAATAGGGTAATCCAGCAGTCAAAGTGGTAAAGAAAACTTGGTGTGGCTATTTGGAGCATCTGCTGGAGAAATCTCTGAACCCATCATGTTACACAGAGAACAAGGCTCTGGAAGCAGTTAGAGGGGACGTTGACTTCCCTGCTTACCTGTTCTACAGGTGGTGTTTCTGACGCAGCCCCCTGTCCTGCCATAGCCACTAACTAGTCTGTTAATGCAGGAGAGAAGCTACCCTTGCCAGTCTGATGGTGGTTGCTGTAGCCTGACTGATGTAAATCCAGTTATCTCTCAAACCACATGGGATTTTGAGACATCTGGGTGGTGTTTGTGTGGCTGAGAGCCTACTTTGAGATGCTATAAATACAAAAATAACCATAGCTATTGGCATTTAAATTCATTTCTGCGTAATCTTTGTAATAAACTTCAATTGGCAGGGTGTTTATTTCAGTGGGAGGAGGGTCAAAGCAGTTTTCATCTGACATCTGGGTATCTCAAGTTGCTTAGTGAGAAAGGTGTCCAGCTTTGTTTCCTTGTGTGTGTGTGGCCTTCCCTCCCTGTACTTCGGGAATAGCAGGGAGTAATTTAATGAAGTTCAACATTAAAGGCTGAAAGTCAGGAAGGGAGAAGCTTGTTAACCTTGTTGAGCTGGAAAGAGCACTGGGGATGTTTGGGGCTTGGGTCTGGTGGGGTCTTCTATATTTTTTTTTTTTATTATTATTTTCTTGGGAATTGAAATTTAGTTGCACAGAAAATAAAATGTATTGCTAATTCTGTTGTGATCCCTTTTTTGTAATTGTGGCACTGCAGCACATCTGTGAATTAAATCTTAAAAAGATATGGAATTTAGTCTGTTCTTTCATTAGCAGAAATGCTAATTCTCTGGCTAATAAAGGAGAGAAGCAAAAACTGAAAGTATGGAGTTTACCCATTTAGAGTAAGCATGAGAAATCTAATCCCTCTTTTCCAAGATCCAATATAAGTAGCAACAGTTTTCCAAAAGAGGACAGCTTGAGGAAGCAGAAGGGGGTGCAGGGACTTGGAGAAGGCAACTGGAGTGGCTAGGCAGGGAGCCAAGAAAGCAGGCAGGAGAGGTAAGAGTCCTGTTAGCTGCTGGCTTCACATGGGCCTAATGGGGTTTGTGAGAGGATGCATGCAGGGAGTATGTGCACACACATGTGGATGCACCTCTTTCTCCTCACTGACTCTTTGAAAGGCTGCTTGCGCCCTTCCAGACTGAATTTGGGGGGCATTTTAGGAAGCCTGCTTAAGCACTCATTGCTATAAAGCAGAATGTTTATCCTAGGTAAGGCTTTAAGTGAGATGTGGAAGCTGCAGGCGAGACTTTTATTGTGACCTAACTATTAGAATCCTATGCATCCTTCACAACTGATTAAATTTTGCCCCTTTTCTTTCTCATCTCCAGATCACTGCGTTCACTACTATGATCTCCGTAACACTAAGCAGCCAATCATGGTGTTCAAAGGGCATCGCAAGGCAGTCTCCTATGCAAAATTTGTGAGTGGGGAAGAAATTGTCTCTGCGTAAGTAATTGCCTTTTATGTAGGCCTAAAACTTAGTAGCCTTTGCTTTCTGTCACTTGTCAGGGCCACTGTGCAAGTTCACCTGCATGGGTAGGAGCACTTGCTAGCTGCGGTGCTTTTGAGAAGCAGATTGTTGCTTTTTTCTAAGACAAAATAGAAATTTTTTCCTGGTGTCACTTGGCTGTACTCTGTCTTGTAGAGCTAAAATGCTTAAGAGGAATACAGAGGCAACTACATGCAGGTCCTGACCACAAGCCCAGACTTCGCGAAGCTGCCGGTGGATTCTCCTTTTAGAAAGTGCTCTGTGTGTTCCTGACCAGAGCTCTGCTGTAGAGAGGGATGCTGGCAGAGCCCTGAGGGTACTAATCTTCAGTAAAACACGGCTGATGAGTGACAGAAGCTATCAAATGGTACTGCTGTGTTTAGGAGGTGTTTAGCCACAGCCTGAAAGCAACTCAAATAGAATTGGCTGATCTGTTCTCTGGTAATTTATTAATCTGCTCTATGAAGGCCCTTTTTAGGATTATACTTGGATTAGAAAGTAGACATAGAGAAGTTGTGTTTTCTGGTCCTATCTTTTTAGACAAGGTAGATCAAAAGGTCAGCTATGGAGGCCCTAAAGAGTAACATTCTGCAGCTTCTGTCCAGTTACATGGCTCGACATGTCTGCCCCAAAGCCAGATGTGACTGCCTCAGTTCTAGGTAGGTTTTCAGTCATACATGAATGAGTGTTTGTCAGATCACACAGTGAAAGGTTTGAATGAATGGCTACAAGCCTCTTCAATAAACCAGGGGTGAGCCCCTCTTACACAGTGGGGAAAATGCAAGCAACCTGGGGAGGGCTGCAGGGGAATCTTTGTTCTCAATATGCTTGTGTATAAC